AAAAAAAACTTAATACGTACTTGGTTTGAACAAGTAAATTGGAAAATGCAAAATAATGCTGAGATGCTTCTTTCAAGCTAAATCGTGTATGCTCAAGTAAAGTTAGACCTGAAAAGAAATAGAAAACCGATGGGAAAATGAGAGTTCGAAAGAAATCAAAGTTTCAAGAGAAAAAGAAAATGAAACAAACCTGATTGAAAGATGTTCTTGGAGGAGATGCTAGATTGCATATGTTTCAGCACAAAGGAAAAAAAAGAGAAGACATGCATGGGAGTCCAAGGGTTTAAAACATTTGTAGAAGAGTATTTTTAATGTTTTTTCTATAAGATTTAATGGCATATGTGGGTGGGAGATGCTTTGGAAGTTCAAATGTCTCTACCTTGACTTTATCTCACACCCATTTCATTTGTTGCTGGAATGAGGTTTAGATTCTATGGGTAATTTGAGTTTAGTCCCCCTCAGAATTCCTCATGCGATTGCACAGTTCTTCGGGTCAATGATAAAGGGTAAAGATTCCCGATTTTGCGTGGATGGTGTTTATAGGGGGTTGTGGGCATTAATACATTTGGGAAACCAATAAAATAATTTTGAGGGGGACTGAACTCTAAAAAGGCCTAGATTCTAAATCTTTTCTTAACTAAAAATACTGTATTTTAGAATTTGGTCTCTCTTTATTACGAGGGTAAACATGTAATTTGAATTACTTATTTCAATCCCTCTCATGAAGTCCTATACTTAAGGTATTAACTCCCTATTCCCTCTCATTAAATCCTATATTTAGGATATATTAAATAAATGTGTTATGTGGACATTTTCTTCACTTAAACACCCTTATTTTGAATTTGATACCTCTTTGATTGTGAGGGAAGAAAATATAATTTGAAATACTACTTTTACGTTCACTCAATTTCCTCTCATTAAGTCCTATATTGAAGGTATTAACTCTCATTCACTCTCGTTAGATTATTTATTTAAGGTGTTTCTGTTTTTCATCAATAACTTCTACCAATTAAATCTATATCCAAAAATTTTAACAATATAAAACCTGTGTGTTTAAAACTAACATGAAACGAAACTATTATTTTGTCTAGGTAGAAATTAAGTAGTTCAACTATTAACGTCAAATGGGTGAACTTATGGTGTCACATTTAAATAATAAAAATTTAAAATATAAATAAAAGATAAAATATTAAAAGAAATTGTGAAAAAATTTGGGTATATCTTTAATATTATATTATCATATTAAACAAAAAAATATGATAAAATATGAAGTATTATAGGAAGTATTTTTATTAATAATGGAAACGAAATACAAAATTTAAAACTAACATAGAAAATAAAACCGTTTTACTGTTCATTCAAGTGATGAGTCAATGGTTCAACCTTTTAAGTCAAATAGGTCAACCTCTGTTGTCATAATAAATAATAAGAATGTTAAAAAAGATGGACATAAAAATTAAGAAAATTGTGTAGAAAACACTTGGATACATCGATCTCTAAAATTATATATTTATCATATTAATAAAAAAAATGTAGTAAATAATTTATTAATGATGGAAAACTATGCATTTAAGTCCCGGTGAACTATCCATAGGGCTGCAACTTGGGTGGGTATACAACCTTGGACATACCCAACCTGTAATATTAAATAGATTAAGCTTGGATTTTCTTTCCTTGGGTTGGTCTTGGGCCTAAGGGTTTAGGCTTTTCTATTTTTCAGGCTAGCTTAAACCTAGCTCTTAGGTAGTTAAACCTAACACAACCATACATATACATTGATATATAAACACATACATACATACATACATACATACATACATACATGCATACATACATACATATTTGAATAATGTATACATATATGCATACATTTTTGTCAAATTTAAGTGTACGTTGATTGATTAACCTTAGCTCACCATAAGCCTGAGCCCAACCTAAATGTATTAATTTCAGTGCATGTCGGGCTCGGATTGGATGGATCAAAATAAGTGTTATAAATAAGAATTATTTATTTAAACCCAAGACAACCCACTTGAATTCAACCTTTAATAGTGGTAAAACAGGTTTACAAATGATGTGATAATTAAATAATAAAAATTAAAAAATAAAACAAAAAATATAGAAAATACTAAAACATCTCAAATATTATAAATTTATCATAAAGATAAGTGTTATAAATTAAGAATTATTTTTATAATTAATTACACAAATGAAATAGAAAATTTAAAGCTGACAAAAATGTTTGAAGTCAGGATGTCGGAAATACATGGTATCGGAATACCTTTGACCGATCAAAATGTCATTTTATTGTTCGATCCTAGTATTATGGATGTTATTAATAAGGGATGGAGTATCGAAGCAAATGGCTCCAAAGCCATCCAATTCATAAAAAAGAAAAAAAGAAATAACCTTGTTAAATATGTATTTAAAAAGAAAAATTTCCTATTGGAGAGATTAAATATTGTATAGAAGAATATCAGTGAAGATTTGAATAACCCTAACCTCATTAATCTTGAAAATGCACTCCAAAAACAATTGAATAAAATTATGGAACGCGAAGAGATCTACTGGGTGCAACGTGCTAATATTGACTAGATTAAACTGGGGAACAAAAGCAATAGATTCTTTCACACTATGCCGACCATTAGAAAAAACAAAGGAGAATTTTAAATGTAGACTTAAGTCCGAATGAATCAGTGGTGCAGATGAATTTTTAAATGCCTTAAATAATTGCATCACGGAGGATCAAAATAATTTGATTATTAAGAATGTCTCAAATGAGGAAATTTGTGATGCCCTCGACTCTATGGGAGATCTTAAGGCTCCACGTCCAAATGGGCTAAATGCAATGCCATTGGAGAATCTGCATGTGGTGTTATTAAAGCTTTCTTCCGTAGAGGAAAAATGTGTAGAATTTTAAACCAAACCTTCATTACTTTGATCCCAAAGAAAAAGAACCCAAATAGTGGGAATGATTATAGGCCAATCAGCCAATGTAATGTCATTTACAAAATTATTATGAAGATCCTGGTCAATAGAATTATACCATTTCTTGACAACATTATCTCTCCATTTCAAAGTTCTTTTATTCTCAATAGGTAGATTAATGATAATGTGCTTATTGTTCATGAATTGATTCATTCTATGAGAAAAAAGAATGGTAAGTTAGGAATTATGGCTTGCAAGATTGATATGGAGAAAGCCTATGACAAATTGGAATGGAATTATATTGAAAATGTTCTTCAAAAGTATGGTTTCCATGAAAAGTGGATCGCGTGGGTTATGGAATGCATCAAATCATTTTCTTACAGAATTTTAATTAATGGGACTCCTTCGGCTGAATTCATTCCTAGTAGGGGTATTAGGTAGGGGGATCCTCTATCTCCTTACATTTTTGTGCTCTGTGCGGAGGCTCTTGCAATGAATCTAGAAAAAGAAGCAGATTCTGATGCCAAAGATATCGGGTGCAGAATCTCTAGAAGGGGTCCAAAGATCCCCATTATGCAATTTGCTAATGATTATTTTATTTTTGCAAATACTTTAGTTCCTGCATGCATGGAAATTAAGGAAATTCTCTCAAATTATGAGAAAGCATCATGACAAATCCCAAACTTCAACCAATCTTCAGTTCTTATTTCAAGGAATATTCACCCAAAACTTCAAAAAATGATTTCAGGGATGTTTAGAATTATTCCTAAGGAGTTGGAGCCAAAGAATCATCTTGGTGCACCTTTAATCAACAAAAGAGTTACAAAGAATACTTTTGCCTTTTCCAAGGAGAAAATGATCCAAAAACTTGCAAATTGGAAAAAAAAACTCTTTTCTTTAGTGGGGAGACTCATACATTGATTAACTCCACTACAAACATGATGCCCCAATATATCATGAAGTCTTTTAAAATACCAAATAATGCTCTAGGGGAATTGGAAAGAGCTGAAAGAGAATTTTTATAGAAAAAGAATGAAGGGAAGAATCCCTTGCATTTAATGAAATGGAGATGCATTTGTACTCCCAAAAGATGGGGAGGCTTAGGAGTTAGAAATCTCCAATGGGTAAATGAAGTAAACCTTGCAAAATTAGGATGAAAAATATTAAATGAAGAAAATAATCTTTGGGTTAAACTCATTAAAAACAAATATATGAAAAGTGTTTCTTTTTGGGATATTAAACCAAAAAATGAATCCTCGTGGGCATGGAAAGGCATTCTCCACTCCAAAGATGTATTGAAAAAAGGTATTGGGTACCAAGTTGGTAATGGTTGAACAATAGTTTTTTGCACGACAAATGAGTTATTAATAAACCTTTATCAGAAATAATTTCTATTAAAAATGATGAAAATAAAAATATTATGGTATCAATTTGATTAACTTAGATGGTGAGTGTTGGGATGAACACAGAGTTTGAAGATAAAATTATTTGGGAAGGGAATTCTTGAGGAGATTTTTCTATCAAATTAGCCTATTTGTTGAAATGCTCATCAATCCTTAGGGTTAATAACTCAATAAAATGGCTTGACCATCATTTGGAACATAAAGTGCCCCTAAAAATAAAAACCTTTCTTTTTCTTCTCTTCCAAAATAAGCTTCATTCTAAGATGCTTTTAAGGAAAAGAGGCTTTGAATAGTTTCTGCGGTGAGGAAGAGAACTTAGATCATATTTTCAAGCATTGTCCTTTCTCCTACCAAATCTGGTCTATCCTCTGTGACCCGTTAGGAGGTCCGTTAGATTGCGACCAAACCTTCTTGACTGGTGGGTCAGACTGTCAAACAAAAATAACAAAAAGGTCATTATTAAAGAAAAAATAGCCTTCATTTTGTGGGCTATTTGGAAAAATCAAAATAAAAAATTTTTGATAACATTGTGAGCCCATCTCAAGTAACTCTTGATCGTGCCTTGCATTCGTTTTTGGAATTCTTGGAAGGTGAAAAAGGTGTAGACATTGATCCCCCTCCCAAGTTGTGGAAGCCCATCGTTTGCACTGCTCCACCCCAAGACAGCATTAAAATCAACTTGTATTGCCCATGACCATTTTGATCGTGTCTTAGATACCAAAGCTGTCAAGATTGGATGTTGTACAATCAATCAAACTGAAGCATGAACAACCTGGGAGGCCATTAAGATGATATTAAAGTTCTGTCAATTTTCAATCATTATTGAAGGAGATTCAAAATTGATAATTTCGTACTTAAACTAGAAGACGAAGAAGCCCCCTTAGAAGATGAAAATTACAATCGAGAACTGCATGAGGATGAAAAACACCTTTACATCTACAAACCAGACCGCAGAATTGCTCGCGAAGCCCAGATTGCTACTTCGGAGTTCATATCTTTTTACTTTATCTTTCCTTCCCCTTCTCTTTCCTCTATTTGTTTAGTGACTATTGGGGGCGCACTACCCCGCTTGTTGTCGTGCTATCTGGATTTATTCAAAAATGAAAATGTCATTTTATTTGTGAGCCGCATTATTTTAATCCCGTTGCGCATGCAATCGGCTGAATCATGCTTACCACATGTCACATCACTCACATGTGTTGATTCGGTGCATGTAAAATTGTAAACTATAAAGGCGGCTTGACTGGCTCATCCTCTCCCTCTCGGCCTCTCCTGCTTCTCCCCACTCTGAGTCAGAGACAGAGCAGAGACCACATTGCTATCGAGAAAGCAAAATGAAGAAATAGCATAAAGTAAAACAAGCTTGTCCGGAACCCAAGATCTTATCTGAACTTCTGCCACTGTTCTGGAGTTCTCGGTGAGGTTGGTAAAGGGCAGCGACGAGACACAGTAATGGAGAATTCTCGTTAGTTTGAGGTCAATTTCGCGAACCTTTTTCACGGACTGGTGGGCTCTGTAATCTCTTTAATGAAATGGGTGGTTTGATTTGGTTGGACGCGCATTCGTTCGAGTCTGTTGTAATGAGATGAACGTTTTGCTTTTCTTGTTTTTCTTAATGTTGTGGTTTTAGGTTGTTATTCTGTTTTTGGTTTCTGATTCTGGAATTTTTGTTGTTTCTTCATCAATTGCATATTTTGTGCTTTCTTTGGTTCAATTGTTGAGTTTCTTTCAATTTCTTTCATGAATTTTCTTTTCAGTTAATTAGAGCTTGAAGGGGAAGGGTTTCTCTATTTTTGGTTTCTTCTCTGACTCCATTTTGTTCACCATAATCTCAGAAGAGTTCTGTTTGACGAAATTAGAAGTAGAGATGGCTGCCACCGGGTCAACAAGATCTGGTCAAGCTCAGTTTATCACAAGCACAGGAAACCAGAGTTTTTCAAATGCACCCCTGATTGAGAATGAGGAAACTAATCAGATCATTGTCCCAGATGTAAGTATAGTTTATCTCGCCAGATTCCTTACATATAGATTCTTGATTGGTTGTTTCAATGTATTTATAATAGATGACTCTTTTTTTATGGATTTAGAATGGCCATAATGTTTCCAGAAATTGGTAGTTTTTTTTATCAGCATTCCGGAAATTGGTAGTTGATCTAGACTTGGGTAAATTGGTCATGTATACTCGGAATCTAAAATTTTTGTCTCAGCTGAGCATGATGCTGATGGTAACTCAGTTTTCCTTATCACAAAATGGCAGCAGTTGTGGTTTTGGTTTGATAGTGGCTGATAACAAGATGATGATTTTGCTGAAGGGGGGAATAATTAGTTATGACTTACAAGCAAGAATAGGTAATTGCTGATTCCACATATTTTACAGAAATTCCTGAGAATAAGGTTCAGATTTTTGTGATGGAAGATTATCTCTAAGTGTAGGTATAGAGTGCGACCAATTACAAAAAAAAGTTGGATGTTCTGGCTAGTGAGTATGAAGAAGATCTGAAAAGTGCTGAGGAAGTAGTGGAGAATGAGGATGGAGAAGATATATTACAGTTGATGGAATTTTTAAGATTGATGGGGTATCAAATTTAAACAGGGTGGTTGAAAGAGAAGTTGAGGTTAGCAAGAAATTGACATTATTCTTTGTAAGAGGGGAAGAATATTATATTAAAATGTTCTTGGGACCAGAGAAGAAAGAAAGAAGTAAAAGTTCTAAAATCCCATCTAGAGAGACTAACAAGTATTTTTTGAGAGAGTAGGCGCGTTTGGACTATGGAGTAGTTTGAGGGAGATGGGTGGTGGAGTTAAGGGTGGTGAATGGGCACTAAAGGTTTTTATGGAACAAGGGATGTTGTCATCTTCATAGAGGTGGATGGAAGTCATGTTAATATGGAAAGTAAGTGATAAGAATTCAGGGGCTGGTCAGTCAATATTGCAACGACCCAAGAGAGCAATCATCAAACCGCACTATTCAGAGAATAATCTCTTAGTGGTCTGTTATAGTCTGTTAGGAGTTTGTTATCTTCTGTCCTTTTTTGTTAGTTGTAACCGAATCTGGTTGAGGCTCTGTTGTAAGTAGACGGTGCTGGGGAAGGATGAAAACAAGAAGAAATTCACCCAATCTCTCTTCTCTCTCTCTCAATTTTTCTGGAGCTCTCTTCATGCTCGCAGTGGAGTACATGTTGATCCTATCATTTTGGTGCTTTCATTGCCTTCTCATTCCTCCCCATGGCCGACCACATCACCACCGGAGTTCACACCTGCCACCAAACCAGACTAGAGGAAGCCATTGATGATCTTCGTGCTTCACATGATGCACATCAGACCAAGCTAGACAACATTCAATCCACCCTTAGTGAGCTGGTCCGTCAAATGACCCTCCTCTACTCAGATAAGACAACCATTGATGTCGCTTCACCACTTTCGTCCTCACCAGCCGCTTCGTCTTCATCTCCGACCATCACTGTTTGTCCCCTTTGCTGTGAGATCTCCCATTTTGACGGCACAAGTCCACATGATTGGAAATTCCAGGCTGAGCGGTATTTCAATTTTCACCGCACACCTGATGAGCAACGACTAGATATAGCCTCCTTCTACATGACTGGACAAGCATTGAGCTGGTTCCAGTGGATGCATTGGAACCTGCAATTGTCTTCTTTGACACACCTCACCTCTGCCATCAAAGAAAGGTTTGGACCCTCCTCCTTCGTTAACCACCAAGCCACCCTGTTCAAATTGCAACAAACCTCTTCTGTCACCAATTATCAATCGCAATTCGAAACGATATGCAATCGCATTGACAGCCTCAGCCCTGAAACCATCCTTAATTGTTTCATTTTGGGCCTCAAACCTAACCTCCAACGTGAACTAGCCATCATGAAACCATCGACCATTTCCTCTGCCATCAGCCTAGCCAAGCTTGTGGAGGATAAACTTGCCATTGACTGCACTCCCTCCTCTTTCAGACATCAAACCATCCGCCCCACCACCACCATTCCTTTCCCTCCACCTCCTTTGATCATCCTCTTACCACCTTCTAGCCCTAAACCACCTCTGCTCTCCCTCCCTCCCCCAGCACTGAAATTATGACCCAATATCCACCGCTTAACTCTGGCAGAACAGCAGGTACGATGTGCCCAGGGATTGTGCTTTAATTGTGACGAAAAATTCCGTGCTGGCCATTGGTTCCAAAAACCCCAATTACTCCTATTGCTGACTGACGATGACGATGGCCCTCCTGATTATGGACCATCAGATGGCACCCCGACGGATGACTCTTCAGTTCCCTCACCGGAGATTTCTTTTCATGCACTTCACGGCAGTGATTCACCCCGAACTCTGCGATTGCTTGCTACCATTCATGGCCACTCAGTTTCTATTCTCATTGACACAGGCAACACCCATAATTTTCTGCATTCATGGGTAGCTAAACATCTTCATCTTCCTGTCACTCCATCGCCATTTTTTCCAGTAACTGTAGGTAATGGTGAACAACTCCGTTGTAATGGCAAGTGCACGACGATTCCTCTATTGATTCAAGGTTTTTGTTTTGATGTTGATCTCCATCTCCTTCCCATCTCAGGTGCAGATGTTGTGCTTGGAATTCAGTGGTTACAGATGCCAACAGTAGCTTCCACTTTTAAGTTTTCCACCACCCCAATCTTCTTAGTTGAAACAAACTCTTCATCCTCCACATCTACACTTCCAGCAGCCTCTCCCAATCCTCCATCCCCTCTTTGTCCTCCACAACCATCGTAGAACCGCTTTTAGCAAATAAACCATTGATTGAGATCCTGACTTCCCCTTTTCCACCTGTCTTGCCCTCCCTGAGAAGAACTCAACTTCTCTGTTTGTCGACCTCTCGAATGCCCCATCTACTTCCCCTACCACTATGCCGTCCCCCTCATTCACTTGGCTGAGAGTTACCTTTCTGCCCTTATCCCTTGGGCCCCTCCTCCCTGAAGGCTCAAGAGAAACAAAAACTCCTTCACATAAATCAGAATGGTCTTCAACCCCTTTCCAGATCTTCTCAACCTGAGTGTCTGGATCAGGCTTCTCATTTGTTTTCTTCAACTTGGTGACTACCCAAACCCAATCATCCTTCTCGCCTGATTTTTTAAATTGACCTCTTATCTTCTTAAGCTTCTTAAATTCTTTTCCACTTTTAACCCTTCTTAAATTAACTCTCAACACCTTCGAGGAAACAACTTTTATCATGTTTCCCCTTTCTCTTTTGAAAGTGGATCCCACTCACAAGCTCCATATTCATATGCTACTAAAATGGCATCCATCACCTTGGTAAAAAATTACCATTTCACCCCTGCTTAATGACAACTCATATTCTTACTGGTCTCTCGACTGTTCATCTTCCAATTTGCATCTGAACTCCTCTATCTTTCTCTAACCCTTTCCTCCTCAATTTACCAGATCTGCCCTCTTTCATCTTTGATGGAAATGATGCTTTGAGAAACATCTGGTCCTCTCCCTCCACTACAATTCTTAAATTATAAGTCTCTCCAAAAAAACAATTCAATCTTGGAAGGTATTTTGAATACTTCATTGACCTCAATCAGTATTCTTTCCAAATCAATCTTCTTTTAGGCAAGGTTCGAAGTACTGGAAACACAAAGTGTATTGGAAAGGCAATTTTAAGCAGCGTATCAGGATATGCCTTGGATACACATGCGTATCAGAGAAAAATCAAGAGACATGTGGATACAAATGGAAACAATATAGATACTTCAATAAATCATAAAAATACATCGATGACACTAAATAGAAGGCCTCAATGAGGTATACATACATAAGAATAATATATTCTAGTGGGCTTTATCAAGAAATACATCATAATCAATATATAGGAACACATTCAAATTTATCCAAGTATCTAACTATCATATTCACACCTCATAGTTCACATTTAAATTCATATTTCTTGCTTCTAAGAGGCTACAATGAAAGAATTTAATCATCGAGCTCTCCCTAAAATAGAAATCATTAATAAGAATGAAATTGATAAGTCTTTTGGTATTCAAATGGTTATTTTCTATTTATTTTTATTTTAAAAAATAAAAATTAAAATTTTGACATAAAATTGTATGGGTTTATGGATATATCAATTTTTGTTTCTTAATTAAATAGAAATTATAAAATTGTATCATCATATTATATAGTGTTATGATTCGGCTTGCCTTGGAGTTCTATTTGTCTGAGATCAGTCACGTAGAGAGAGGTAGAAAGGTGGAAGAAAGAGAGAGAGAAAAGGAGAAAGTCTGGTTCGAACTGGAAGTAAAAAAACCTAACTCCCATTCGGCCAGACATGTGCTTTTATTATTAAAATAATGGAAAAGACATATGTGCCCTTATTTAAGTAAGGAGCACTGGTTCTAACATAGTATTACAGATTAACAACCTTAATATAAGTATAAAGACAGATCAACAACCTTATTTAAGTAAGGATCACTGGTTCTAACATAGTATTACAGATCAACAACCTTAATATAAGTATAAAGACAGAAATACCCCTGCGCTAACACTCCCCCTCAAGCTGGTGAGTATATATCATATAATCCCAGCTTGTTACATATGTAGTCCACTCTTCCCCGACTAGCTCTCCATTCAGCACCTTATCCCTCACAAAGTGACAATCAACCTCAATGTGCTTGGTTCTTTCATGAAACACCGGATTAGAAGAAATATGAACTGCAGCCTGATTGTCACAATAGAGCTTCATTGGAGTTTTGATGTTGTACCCTACTTCCTGTAGAAGGTTCCTTAGCCACATTAATTCATAAGCAGTATGCACCATAGCCCTATATTTTGCTTTTGCACTACTTCTGGCTACGACTGTCTGCTTCTTACTTTTTCATGTCACCAGGTTACCCCCAGGAAAGTGCAATAGCCTGTGGTAGACCGCCTATCAGACATAGAATCGGCCCAGTCAGCATCAGAATACCCATCTATTTCAAGTTTTCTGCCACTTTTGTATATCAA